TATATATATATATATTCTGTCATGCAACACATAGATGAGGAGTTGGGATTAAAAATTTTATCGTTTAGAAAAAATAAGCAATTTTAACCGATGTTCAGGCTTGAAAGATTTTAATTTAAGCTAAACTTTTGTAAGTTTGCATTCCTCGAAATTACTGGGTAGTTCTAAGTTACGTCGTACTGAACTCTCGAGATAGGTAAGAACGCCAATTTAACAACATAATAAAAACCCTACCGCTAATTAAAAAAAACCCTTAAAAAACTATAGAAACAAAAAAATAATAATAATACAGACTAATCTTCTTCTTCACATACCAAGGACAACAAGAACCATAAAACTATCCGAAAGTTTATGCACATCAATCCTTCATTTGAAAAAAAAACCTCAGTGTGCACCTTACACGAATATGCACAGCGCAGAAACCATGAGCCAAATTCTCGCAAGAGAAGAAATTAACCATCTCAGCCTTAGAACAACAGAATATTGATCTGCAAGGACAACTTAGTTCTTCTCTAAAATCCGTGCTCTCCAAACCCTTTGCATCAAAGATGATGTCAGCGAGCTGGGAATCACATCACGTGTCAAACAAGTCCGAAGAGTGCTAAGTGGTTCCCTAGCATAAGTTATCCGCTTGTCCAAAAATCTACACGCGAAGAGTTCCAAAAGCAAGTAAGCGATAGAACGCCACCATATTTGAGCTATTAGTGTTTGAATCAGATGAGCAGCAGCAGCGCTACTGCAGATATGAGTGCCCATTCAAAAACTACTTCTCTTAACCGTCAACTTTGTTTTTTCTATATGAGGTTCCCGACAACACCTAATCCATTCTTGACAGTTTCAGATTTACCTAAATAGCTTTTGCTGACTTTCTAACCCCTTGATGCTAAGATACCGCTTTAACTCTCATGCCATCTCAGAACACTGTTTTCATTTCAGCGGATAATCGAATGGATAGCGCGGTCACTTTGTAACTGCAATTTTAAAAATCTTGAGGGGTTCAGACTCATAATCCATGAAATTTCTCAACTCACAGTCCTCACATTTCTCGATCATTCTGCGGTCTGCTCAAAAACACCCATTCAGTCATATTTTTTTCTTCAAAATTCAACAAATAACACTAAGTTTGTGCTCTAGAAAAGTCTGCATTTACCATTTTATAAACCTCTCCAGCCGTTTCGTAATTTAAAGAAGTAGTCAGAATGTGAGAAAAATAATCTTGATAAAGAAATTTTCAACAAAAGGGAAAAGGCGACCAAAGGCTATGACGGACACTACAGTTAAAACGAAGTAAAAAAAAGAAGAGAATTTTAATAAAGATACAGAACAAAGTGTGGCTGTGAGAGTTTTAAAACTCAGGTGTTTGTTTCGTATCTATCACATTGAAAAACAGCTATAGAAATTCATAAAATAGTCAGCGCAAACTTTTCTAGAAGAAAACTCAGTGTCATTTGCAGAGTACTGCGTACGCGACCAAAAGATTACAATTAAGCGGATGTTTCAGAGAAGATCAGAAAACAGTAGTGAAATTTGAGAACTGTGGGTTGAGGAATTGTACAAAGGATGGATTTTGACCTTCCAAATCCCTAGAATCGCGGTTATAAATGACTGCACCATCTACCAAAAAATAAAACGATCTTATGAAGTGACAGAAGAACTGAAACGACTTTTTAGTATAAAATTGTTAGAAAGTTAGCATAAACTAGATAGACATTTCTGGAGCTATCAAGGATGAATTAAAGTAGAAATCAAGGACTCCACATATGAGAAATGAAGTAATGTTGATGATCAAAAAAGTATGTTTGGGAGTGGGTACTCTTAATAATAACAGCGCCGCAGTAAGCACTGAACAAGAAGGATTTAAGTCATTTAAGCAATATAAAGGAAGAAGCCAAAATCACACTGAGACTCCGGGTCACCGCTTCCAGATTTGCGATAGCTGAATAATCTAAGGCTGCGGCGACACTTTTTTAATTCAGAATTTGTCTCTCGCTGGGACCGGTAAAGGAATTTAGTAGTAGAGCAGATTTGTAAACTTGACAGTTGTCATGCTGCGAAGCTGAAAGATCTTCTTCGAGTATAAAGCAGTTTGCATTCCAAACTTCATCTACCTCCTAAATTCATCTAGATAAGTACTATTTTTCTTTCTCTTCGTTGTTTGGTAAATATTATGTGTATCTTCCGGCTTTCTTTTGCTTCTTGGTAAGTTTGGTTTCTTTTTATTCCATGCTTTTTTTACATTCCAATTTCTTCCATCGAAAACTGTATAACGTCATCATTGTGTGTTGCGAAAAAAATATTCATATTGGTTTAAAAAGTTTCCAAGTGGCCGGAATCTTTCGATTTGATTCCGAACGCGGTCTTTTTTCTCTGGACGGACACGTATAAACGCCGTCATTTCTAATTTCCATTTCGTGGCAGGACCAGA